CCTTGGCATTATCCATGTGGTGCTAATTTTAGGGGCATGCAGAATGCAAGAATTCTGAAGTTAAGAAGGCTTCCACCTAGATTTCAGAAGAAGACCTGGGAAGCCAGGCAGTGTGCCCCTGACAGGGCAGGGTATGAAGCTGTGAGGGACAAGCCTAAAGTGCAGTGGAGACCACAGAAGGTTGGAACAGCCAGGAATGTGTATCATCTAAGGAAAGTTGCATGGAGGGAGCAAAGAAGGCCAAAGAGAGAAGCTGTGGGAGCTACAACCACTGGAAGTGCCCTAGAGGCGGAGCCCTGAAAGCCCTTTGGAGCTTAAAGATTGCTTTGGATGTTGCATGTGGAACTACAGGACTTAGTGTTTGCCCTGCTGCCCTGCTGGATTTTGGACTTGCTTTGGTCCCAATGCTCTGTATGGAATGGTAATGTTTTATTTTGTGCCACTGAACGTTGGAAGTATTTAACTTTGCACTTGTACTGGGGATCACAGCTAAGAGTCTGCCTTAGATCTTGGAGGAGACTTGGAACTTCGATTTTTCAGCAAGCTGAAACTATTAGGACTTTCACAACTCTTAGAGATGGACTACAATGCCTTTTGCATAAAGGGATGTGCAAGAGTCTTTGGGGGGCAGGGGGAATGTTATGGTTTGTGTCTAGATATCCCCCTAAAGCCTCATGCAGTCATGGGGTGAGCTTCTAGAGTTTTTGATTGATTCATGGTCCAATGCTTCATGGATTATGCTTCATGGATTATGAGTATGGGTCCTACACCTGCTCTGGGGCAGGTAGCCTGCATAAAATATAAGGCAGGGAAAGAGGCTTGCTCTCTGTTGCTGCTCCCCCCTTTTTTGGCTCTTGTTGCTTTTGCTGTCTTCCACTGCCATGAACTGTTGCCCCTCTGCCATGTCACCCTGCCTTGGAGCCAGCTGATTATAGACTGAAGTCTCCACAAACTGTGAGCTAAATAAACCTTCCCTTCCTTAATTCTGGATATCAGGTATTTTGTCCCAGCAATGAGAGAAAAGTAACCAAGACAATGTGTATATGAGTAGGAAGTTGCACTTTAATAGTCTTAGTTTTTCTAACATGCTGATGGAAGTATTTAGCCTTAATAATGAGATGATAAAATTTATTTGTATTCCTACTATTAAAGGAAAATCTATGATGTATACAATTTTCTTCTGTGATAAGAGTTCAGATTATTCTACCAGTAATAGAAAATCTGTTAAAATGATTTTAAAAAACAGCTTCATTATACAACTCTGTATTAATTACTTATCTTTCTGAATTAAACTTAGAAACAAGAAAATTAACTTCTTAACTTGTAGAATAACTAAAAATTGGAATTTTAGTGAGGAATAGAAACTTTAAGGATCTTGGCTTTAGGTATTTGTACTAAAGTTTCTTCAAAGTTAATTACAGTGGCGCGGCTGCGGACTTCCCGGGGCAGGCGCGGGGCCGGGGAAGCTGGACTCCCGCAGCTTCTTTGGGTCCTTGGCCCGGCCACCCTGGGCTTTCCTGGTGGCAGCTCTTGTCCCAGCACCACTGAAACACAGGAGCTGTTTCCATTTCTTGTTTCTCTCTATGTTTGAGGCAAAGCATTTTATGAATTCATTTGCTTAATAAAATCCTAAATCAAAGTGAACCTCTAAAAAAAATATAAAGGTAAATATAATTCATTCTAATTGTAAGCTATTCATTAATACTAGTCTAATAAAATCTCATTTCTTTCAATTATATTATACTAATAGTAGATTTGAATTTCCGCAAAAGAAAGTAGACTAAATTTATATCCCTAGCTTTAATCTCTACTTTGGTACAGGTATATGAGGGGAAAGAAACAATTACCTTTAATAGGGTGCTGGGAGAAGTAGGTTAAAGACAGATTTACCAGATTTTTGAAATTTCATTTTCTTTGAATAGGTCTAATTTTATACTGCAAGGGATATGAATTAAGAAGGCATTTTGGAATTTTTCTTAAAATGAAGGTACTTAAGAAAATATCATACCATAATCCCAGCACTCGGGAGGCTGAGGCAGGAGGATCACTGAGAGTTAGAGGCCAGCCTGGGCTACAAAGTGAGCTCAAGGCCAGCCTGAGCTGCACAGTGAAACCTTGTCTCAAAAAAAAAAAGAAAAAAAGAAAAAAAGAAAAAAAGAAAAGAAAAGAAAAAAATCTTATACTACAGAGATGCATATCTTACAAGGTCATTGTATGTTTTATTTGAAGAAGACCTAGCACAGAATTTCTTTAAATTTATTATTCAAATGAACACTTATTTTCAAGTATAGTTTTGGAAAATGCTAAGGAAGATTCTGGGAGATATATTTCATATGACTTTGCTAAATATGTAAATTTGATACAGCTTTGAATTACTTAAATCAACTGTTCCAAACCAAGGGTAATTTTTAAACTCATAGGACACTTGGCAATGCACCTCTTCCAACGACTTACCTAGCCCCAAAAGCCTGTAGTGTGGAGGTGGATAAACCCTACTCAGATCAACTTCCATGCTTTCCCTACCCGGTCATAATACCTAACTTGCACGAGCTAGTGTATATTTTGACTAAAAGATACTGAAAATATAATCAATTCTAAAAAAAGACTAAATCCAAGAATTTTTTTTGCAGGAAGAAAGGATACTATATTTAAAGGAATGAAATCATGGATATATGATGTGGAAAAGGAGAGATAAGCAATTATTTTCATTAGCCCAATGTATACTTACAATAAAATGCAAACTCTCTAAACAAATTATAGATAACAGTAATAAAATGACCAGAAGCATAGCCACATATGGCTGGGAAGAAAAACTCAAAGCGGTCTAGTTTAGGCAAGTTACTAAACAGACACAAGTAACAATGACTCTGAATCAGGAGTTGCCAAGATATATTACCTAAGATGTCTAGTATTCAACAAAAAATTATGAGACATGAAACAAGGTCCATCTAAGCATACTCAGGAAAAAAAAGCAGTTGCAAAGGTTATCTCAGATTATCCTCAAGTATTAGGTATACTGGGTAATAATTTTTAAAGCAGGTGGTATATATGCTAAATGAGCTAAAAATAATAGCATTAGAGACTTTTATTACTCAATAGAGATGCTCAGTAAAGAGAATGATGTGAATAAGCAAGTGGAAAGTCTTGATTTGAAAAATACCTGAAATGAAAAATTAACAAGATTTGACATAGCAGATGTGACACAGTAAAAAAATGAATCCAAGAACCTGAAGACAGATCAACAGAAATTAATCTCCAGAAAAAAGGAAAAAATGAAAATAAATGAGCATCACTTCAGAGCTATGTGGTACAACATGAAGCATACAAGTTTCCAAGTAATGGGAGCCTGAAAGGTGCTGAGAGAATGGGACTGAAAAATTATTTGAAGAAATAAGGGCTAACGAATTCCCAAGTCCGATATAGGGCATTAATCTATCTATTAATAAGGTCCAAGAAGCTCAAAAGCCAAAGACTGCTAAACACAAAGAGATTCACACCTTGATACAGCATAATCAAATTGTTGAAAGTCAAAGGTAGACAAGATCTTGAAAGAAGCAAGGGAAAATGACTCATGGAAGCAACAATACGATTAAAGATTGACTTTTCATCAGAACCAATTGGTGCCGGAAGGCAGTGCGATGACACACTCCAAGTGCTGGAAGAAAATACCTGTCAATGAAGCGATCATTCAGAAATGAAGGTGGATAATATCAAATGTTCGTTTAAACCAAAACAATCTTGCATAGGAAAGTAATGTGATATAGCCACTTTAGAAAACAATTTATCAATTTTTTAAATGGCTAAACATAAACTTGCTATGTGACCAAACAATTCCTCTTCTAGGCATGAACTCAAGAAAAATGAAAACATATGCCTACTTCTATGAAATTGTTCACAGCATTATTCGTAATAGTGCAAAACTGAAACTAATGCAAATTTCTCAACTGGTAACTGGACACAGGAAATGTGGAATATGTACATGCATACGATGGGAAGCTGTTTAGTAAAGAAACAGTGAAATAACAATGAAGGCTATAACTATCCTCAGTGAATGATGCTAGATGAAAAAGATTATAAACACCATATATTAGTTTTATGTTTAAATCTTTATATATCCACATACAGACATATATAACCCTATATATATGAAATATCTAGAAAAGACAAATTTGTAGAGAGTGAAAGATTAGTGGTTGCTTTGGGCTCGGAGTGTAGACTGACTGCAAAATGGCTTTAGAAATTTTTATTTTTGAGGTAATGAGAATACTCTAAAACAGGATTACAATGATGGTGAAACAGCTTATAAATTTACTAAAATATACATTTACAATAGAATAAAATAACAAAAGGCTTAGTTTAAGGGATGAAGATTTTACTTCAATAAGGCTGTTTTTTTTTAAAGTTACAGTAGTCATGCCAACATGAAGAAGTGTCTCAGTTTAACTGAAAAACACAAGAAACCTACCAGCTAAATCTTTACCAATTAAATACCATTTTGGGGGAAAAACTGCATAAAATCCAAACTAATCTATTAACAAATCTGTTTGTGAATCTAACCCACTGCTTTAAGAAATAGGTCACTTCACCACGTCAATTAATGTAATTTGAGTAGCATCAAACACAAGCTGAACTGGTAACAGAAAATCACTTCTACCTCTGAGGAGAAGCTTTATGTTTGTTTTTAATTGTAGGTTCATGGGTGCTTAGATGGAAGAAAACTCAACACACAAATAATACTATTAAATGAAGTGAAACTAAATTCCAGAAAAAATTTTGTTTTTTTGAAACAGAAAAAAAATGCCTTCATTTTAGATCTTCTACATAGCATGAATAACTTCCATGTATTTCAGTGAAACAAAACTTTGGCTAAAATATTAAAAGCGCTCTGTGCAAAACTACTGTACACTGAAATAATATTTTGCTGTTTGCTAATCCATTTGAGGAACAACTATTGTACTGTGTTACTTCCTCTTTCATGTGATATATAATACAGCACTTACCCTGCTTTCTTCGAGGCTGTCAAATGGACCTGGTGGATCATCCAGACAAAGAAATTCTCTCACTGCAAGGCTTTTCAAAGTTAAAAAAAAAAGATTAGTGTCAGTATGAATTAAGTTTACAAAAGATAGCAAACAGCAGAGGTTATGAAGCTCCCCTGTGTTTTAAGCAAACTGATTTTGCTGATATACCAAAATAAGCAAGTTAATGTGTTTTTATACAAGTAGCCAAACACAAACATTAAACTCTAGAAGATGTAAAGATCTTTAAGATGTTTTCAAAGGTCTTATGAAAATAAATAAAAACCACAAATTTATTATTACATACAAACTACAGACATAAAGTATAACTCAGAATAGTAGTACAAGACACCAATCTAACTAGTGAATAGCTTCTTTATAACTTTTTACAGAAATATCAGTCTTAGCCAGTATACGAAAATTATTATTCTATTATGAATACATATAACTTACAATTCATACTGCATTTGTTTCTTTTTTGGTGGATGCTAAAAAATAAGTGTAAACACCAGGTGTGGTGGTACACTCCTGTAATCCCAGCACTCGGGAGGCTGAGGTAGGAGGGTCACCATGAGTTGGAGGCCTGGGCTTCATAGTGAGTCCAGACCAGCCTGAACTACATAGCGAGACCTTGTTTCAAAAAAAAAAAAAAAAAAAGTGAAAATTATTTACTCTGAAGCAGCTTAAAGATTGTCCTTGCCATTTTCCCTAAATATTTTTTAAATGAGTAATTTAAGTAAACATAATTTACCTAAGTATTTTTCCCAGATAGTGTATGAGAAAAAAACTTCTGAATTCCCCCAAAACTAACTTACTTATAAGTCACCAAAAATTTTAAAATAATGAAATAATATAATTCTTATGCTCATAATTTGCAGTCAGAAATAGGTTAAGAAGATAGGGTAAAAAAGGAGAAAACCAAACTTCTTTAAAACACAAGCAAGCTCTATTTCTAAAAAGCAATTTTGGAGTATGAGACAGCTCTATATGTGTGTAAAAACATCAATGTGGAGCCTTAATTGTTTTCATCTGCAAAGGGATCAAAGTATGATAAATACAATCACTACACGAAGAGATGTCAACTTATGTTAAGGGAATGAGCTTTAGGGCTCAGGTGGGGACAGACAGGTTGATGATGACAGTGTGTCATGAAGAGATAAATGGACTTTTAGTGGAATCTCTCCAAAAGAAAGCCAATATGAACTAACACAGAAATATTGTTTGGAAAATAATCCAGAATATCCCAAAGGCAGAACAAATAAGTTCATAAAGCAGCATCCAGAAAAGCAAATTTTGGCTTATAGAATGTTAATATCCCTTCTTACCAAAAGGGATACACATTCAGGGAAACAGAAAACACCTGAATATTTATAATCACAGAATAAGAGATGAAAGAGATCTTAAATGAGCCATACACAGTATGCTTTCTGTCCCTTTTACAGCTTCAGCCAAGTATACACAGTACTTAAATACCACCAAAGGTAATGGGGTTAGTATCTTTGCTTTTTATATAAACCAGTCCAAGGGCTGGGGATTTAGCTCAGCGGCAAAAGCGCCTGCCTGGCAAGCTCAAGGTCGTGAGTTCAGTTCCCGGTAAAAGAGAAAAACAAAACAAAACAAAAAAACAAAAAAACAAAACTAAACAAAAAATAAACCAGTCCATGTGTGAATACATTCACATACTGCTAAATACATGTCAACAATGTTAGCCTATTTTCCTGTGACCATATATCTTTAAGCATCAATAGGAAGACACTAACATTTTCAAAGTACATTGCATATGCAGGGCTTTCACATATCTTATTTATTTAATTTTCACAGCAATCATGAGAAGTTAGGATAGGACTTATATCTCAATTTTACAAATGATACAAAGTTCAGACAGGTAAAAATAACTTGCTTTGCAGTCACAAAGAACAAGTGACATGGCTGGACTTTAATCTACCTTCTGAATTTAAATATATGGCCTTTTACCTTTAAATTCTTCTATCTTTGGTTCATTTATATTCTTTCCTTTTAGGCCATTGCTCTCTAAACACATTCAACTTGTCCATTTACCTCTTTAATTATACACAGCCTTTAGGATACTCAAGTGGTTTAACAGTGAACAACAGGCCAGAAGGACACACACTCTTCTTGTATAGATATAATTACACCTACCCATTATTACACCAGAGTAACTATTATTAGATAAAAATGAGCCACAGGAAATGAAATGATCTTGGCTTTGAGGACTAAAGTATGGGTGAAACACTAAATGAACAGCATTTATAATGGAAAGGAAAATGCTAAGAAGCATATGGAAGGAGCTTAATACTTTCAGTATATGACGACCTAATGTGGAACATTTTCTTACAGTTTTATACCCACATTTCTTCTACTTTAATGATTTTTTTTATGTTTATTACTTACTTACTGGGATACTATAGCTAGGAAGGGAAAAATGTTTAAAGGAGCATACATTCTTTTTTATACCTTTATTTTATAGCAGAAATTTGGCCAAGATCAATGGCGATGTCAGCTGAGTATCCTACTGAAGGAACCTTTTTATTTTGGAGTGGTTCTATTTCACTCTTGTTCCTTTTCTTGTTTTTAAATGATCTATGGCTCATGAGAATTCTTAAACTTTGGCAGATTCCCTGAGTCTCTTTCAAATGTAGTAGTTCCCAAGTTATACTCCATGCTCTACTTTTAAAAATCTTTAGCTTAAAAACAAAATTTGAAACAGGCAACAATTTACACTCTCACACTGTATCCCTATCCAAAGAGAAGGACAGGCTAAACAAAAAACCTCTGGGAAATGGTGGGGTTTGAGAAAACAAAGAAATACCAAAATATTTTTTCCCCCTAGGAAAGGAAGTCTTCACTGCTGCTTGAGAATCAATGAGAACTTAAATTAGATTCAATAAATATTTATTGATGGTATATGTGTGCCATGGTTCTGCTCAGTAATTTTCTGTATATGATTAATGCATGATTTATAAACAAATCAAGTGAATTCTACTAATAAATAAACACCAAAATGTCTACATTACTAAGTGATACATGGCTTAAATGGAAATCATATTTTAAAAGCTTTATTCTTTTATGAAGATGTTCACTGAGAGGTTGAACATAGCGTCTAACCTCTGCTACTATTTGACTATGACAATGGATAACAAAAACATCAGGACAGTGTGTATGTTTTTTTGTAAGAGGAAAAAATCTAACAATCTTGAATAAGAAAGGCAAGGGGAGATTTTATTTTATTTTATTCCTTTTGTTATCTGTAGTACCTTTTGTTTTGTTTTGTTTTGTTTTGTTTTGTTTTGTTTTGTTTTCTGGCACCAGGAATCAAACTCACGACCTCGCACTTGCCAGGCAGGCGCTGTGCTGCTGAGCTCAATCTTCAGCCCCTGTAGTAACGTTTTAATGTATCTGAGAAAACTTTTTGAAATTCAGATCAATTACCGACTCAAAGATAAATGAGCAAACAGATGGTGTATTTTAGTTTGTTTTTATTTTGACAGCAAAGTTGCACTGTAATTTCAACTCTGCGTTTGAAAAAAATATTCTTTGGAATAATTGCATTTTCAAGCTATGAACCTAATAAACTACTTCCATCTACTGAGCTTTCCACCATACATTTACTATTGGTTTTCTTTCTTTTCTTTCATAGATATATATGTATTTACATTTCCCAAATTTTTCAAAACACCAGTAATTTAATAGCTAGATATTGTGAAATGGAAAGAAACTGTTCAAAAGGAAAAATGAATTGGGGTGGGGGAAAGGAGAAAAGAAGGAAGGGAAAAGGAAAAAAAAATACAAGATAGTTAAACTACTAGTGTTTCTTAGTTCACTGAAAAGAAAGGTCTGTGCTAATATTGTTTGGAGAATTTTTTATGCCCATATCTTGTACTCTGAGTAATTACTTTAAAGATAACAATACAAAATGCATTCCCTATTGTTATTCTCCTATTACTTTGTTATGAAATTTTGTTTTACTCTTTTCTGTAAAATAGAAAAGGGAAAAAACCCCACTAAAATTAACCCAACTTCTCTTAATATCATTTTATACAAAAATAACTTAGAGACATTAACAGTAACATTTCCTGTGAGAAGATAGTTCAAGTTTAAATGCATAAAATAGTCATCTTTGAGTATTCACATTAAAAAAGTATAGATATATTAAATTTTATACATAAGGGGATTTATGTTGACACTTAATCCGATGTATTTCATTTAATAATTCTTTAATACCACTGGAACTCGACTTTATTTTTTTGAGACAGGGTCTTGCTATGTAGGTCAGGGTGGCCTTGAACTCACTTTGTAGTCCAGGCTGGCCTCAAAATCACAGAGATCCTCCTGCCTCTCCTGCAGCAATCCTCCAAGAGCTGGAATAATAGGTGTGTGCCACTATACCTGATGAACTCAAGTTTTTTAAAGGGTCACCATGTTTATATTGGACAGGTTGAAATGACAGGCACCTCTTTTTTATCTGAGCTGATAGTTCCTTCCTTTAACTTCTCACGATTATTGCTAGTTGTTCCTTGTTAGCTTTACTATTAGAAATGAAATTCTAATACCAGCAGTATAGATGTCCTAGAAACATGACAGAAATGCAGGATCTTTAGCCCAGATCTATTAAATTAGGCTCAACATTAACAAGAACCTCAGGTGATTCACAAGCACATTATACTTGGAGAAACACTATTCTAAAGCTAAATATATTTGATGAACATGACTGCCATATTCCCTGTGTACTCTTTATTTTTAAAGTGTAAATGCTCTCATTTCTTTTGAATTGCCCCCTCATGTAAATGAGTGGATACTAGTAATTTTTTTTATATCATTAACTGTTGCTGATCCAGATCCATTCTGAATTTTTGTTTTTGAAGATACAGAATTTAAAACACTGAATTTTGGTACCAAAGCCTTTATAGATGAATGGTAATTATAGAAACTACAATGCTTTAACTTGTATTTTAAAGAATTAAAAAAAAATTGGTAATCATATAAATGTGGAATAGTTCTGAAAACAGAGACTGGTAAAACATTACTGTGCTG